AATAGTTCCTTTGCCTCTTTTATAAGGTCATTTTTGTTGGCATCCCTTGGACAATCAACAGATCTACTCCTCCTCCTTTTGGAGCTGTCACATTTACAAATTTCTTCTTTTTTGGATCATAATGTTTCCATCCAAGGTGAATTCTTCTGGTTTTGGTCTCCACTTGTTTAATCACATSTTTTGCTCTCGCCTACCTTCCTTGGACAATCTCATCATAGAGCCTTTGTTTTTTCTTTTTCATGTCTTCATCGTCTTTATTCCCCTCACTTTTCCTTTTAGCAAAAGCTTTTACTGCATATATATATCTCCTTTTTTGGTTAACCCCAAATCTATCAAAATACTTTCTGGACAGGACATTATAGCCACACAATCCATCTGTTGAATGGACAAGTAACCTGTCAGTTGTTATCTCAACTGTGGTTAGGAAGGAATTGGGTTAAGGTGGATCTGAATGTGTTCCTTTTTGAAAAGCTAGGATTATCTTCTTCATATTGTGTATTATATTAAAGGGTTATTAACCGAGCGCGAGGTCTGTACAGAAAAATATCGGACCGAGGTCTCGACAGTACGACCGAGGCCGTAGGCCGAGTCCGTACATTATAGACCGAGGTCCGATATTTTTCCGTACAGACCGAGCAAACGAGGTTAATAACACTTTTATTATATGACKTTTTTCTAAATCGGAAAAGCAAACTGTAAACGGCGCGCGAATATCGATTGGACTATCAATTGGTCCAACTGAAGCAAGCAAAGCACATGGAATCAAATTGTCAAAAATRTTTGTTTTTTACACCAGAAAACAGATATTTCTGTTATAAAAACAATTCTAAAATGAATTGCCATCAATGTCACAGAAGAACAATCATTTAAATGTCTCGAAAGATACTTATTTCGTAGAAAAACAACAATCGTGGGTCTTTCATCTAGKCGAAGCACAACGAAAACAAACAAGTCAGTAAACTTTATCTGCTTTATCTACAATCAAATCGTTTACAATCTTCATCGTCGCTTTCAGTGATAGCATTTCGACGCCTTTTCCCTTGTTGAACCGTCACTGGACCTTTGGAAATCTTGAAGTTACATTAAGTGATGCTGTGAATTTCTAACCTGGGTTTTATTAGTATAGTCACGAAGCGCCTTCTCGTCGTCTTCATCGCTTAGAGATTTCGTCACTTGTGTTTTGTTGCCTTTTCCGCTCTGTACAAGGGCCTTCGCTTTACTACAAGAACGGTTCTTTACGTGTTAAATTTCTTGTCTTTGAAGCGATTTCATTTTCATGAACTACTTGAAATGTATGGTCTGATAGCAATCCACCGGAAAGCTGCTCACTCTAATTAGTAATACCTTTTTCAATAGATGGATAATACTTGTATAAAATGTTTATATTAGACCTTGTTTTTTGTATTGTGATTTCGCCTTGCACTTTTCTACAAACAACTGTCAAAACAACAACTCCTTGCCTCGGAGTTTGAACTTCGCTTCGGATGTGGCGTTTTCATCATGCACGTTTTCCTCAACTCAAATTCGTCAGAATAATAAAATTCTCTGGAAAAATATTCWTCCTCGTCATTCTTAATTTTTCTTTGCTTGCTTCTCGTATAGTTATTCTCAAATTCAGTTCAAAAAAATATCAAATCTCGCGCCTTGAAAAATGTCAACRAATGGGCGCTCGGGATATGACTTTCGGACCGTTGTCATGATAATCGGTCGGAGATGGCAAAATATCGCCCTCGCGTGAGCCAATCAGAACGCGCGTACTATCCAAGTCATATAATAATGTAACATATACACTAAATACGAATAACTGTTTACGACACTCCAATAAAATATTTTCTTTGTTTTGTTGTCAGAATTCCTACTCACTCCTTGATGTTAGGGGAGGGGACAAAAGAAGCCTCAAAAGGATAGCAAAGCTTTAGCAAATGTGAATGGAGGGGCACAGTTTTTTTCATATTGCTTACATTTTCATTTTCAAAATTCTTCACAACTTCCTTGTCAATGTTTCGACATTTTAAGAACTCAGCTATCTGTTTGAAAGTAAACAAGCATAGCAATTATTCAATAATCAACTGACTGGTTATGGCCGCTAACTAATATACATAATATGTATATAATATTATATAATATGTATTTTTTTAAATAATATATAAAGGAATGAATAAACAAATAAATCAACAAATAAACAATAAAATAAATACATGAACAAATAAATGAGTGTAAATAAATGTATTTTTAATATACTAATAACTAGTCTAGTTGCCAGAAGGGGTTCCCATGCACCCCCCGGACTCATTCACGAAACCTACATATTTGGAATTCTTAGAACTCACAGAATAAGAATATCGATGTTCCCAAGACGATAAAGTGTCCCAAGGTGTAGTTATAGGGGATTTCATTTTGAGCCAAATTACACAGGGATCCCAATTCAGATTTTTTTCAAAAAAGTCTATTTGTTATGCCGCTAACCGCCTCAAATKGAATCAAAACACAATTTTTAAACACCTTAAAGTCTTAATCGTTCTAGATGATGCCTAGCAAATTACAAACATAATATTCTGAAAATATTTGAAACATGAAACTATTCGTCATCTTCATCACTAGATCCATCATAGTCGAAGTCTTCACTTTCGCTGCTTTCATCTTCAGAGCTATCATCCCCAGAACTATCAATTAGGTCAATTAGGGTGGTGGGAAGTATTGGACCTCTCGACCAAATAGGCTCTAAAATGCCATGTTCARTTTTCTCCCAGCCTTGACCTTCATCATAAGGCTTGGTACACCAGAAGATAGGCACTGTGGCTTTCTTGTAAATGGCGAGGCGGTGATTCACACGATGAATGTGTGGAATGAGATTGTCTTGGCATGGCGGGAGGCGAGACAGATCAATTTTGGACTTCGTTGTCATGCTATGATTTTCCCCGACCATCTTCTTTAACATCAATGCCCTCACAGCATTAACTGAACTTTCCTTTTTGTATCTATACATCAGGCAGGTGAATTCTTCAAGTTCTTGCATAGTCTTGTCCTCGACAGACCAATCGTCTCCTAGTTTCCTTTAAAGAAAATCCAGCCGAATAATTACAATYGCACCAGCATTTTATGAAATAAATAAATGTCTTACCTAAAGCTTTCCTGATACTTYGGGTTATTTAGTAGTTTCTTCAAAGGTCCAAGCTTACCCTTGCCCTTGAAAGCGCTGGTTACATCTTCACCTGTAAAAACGTAGATTCCCATCAACATGGTAGCATATTCTTGACCTTTTAGTGTTGCTAGGTCTGAAACGTTGACAATCTTTCGATGCTTTCCCACACCAGTGTCTAGATAGATTGTTATTGCAATTGAAGGAGCGTGATGGAGAAGTATAACAAATATGTCAGTATCTGGCGTTCTCACAACAACTGACTTGTATCCCTGGCTTGCAGCATACTTTATGTAAAGAACAACTCTAGTGTCAGTTTCCTCCTGGTKAGATGCGAGCTCAAAGATCTCTTTCGTTGACACCTAGAAAATAAGCAAGTAACGTTAAATTTTGTGATTTCCACATTAGCCTCAAATTAAGAGAAATGTTAATCATAACATTAAGTTTGTGCTCCAATAAACACATGTATGCATATACACCCAAACACCTACATCACTATGATCCGAATTCACTTGACACATGTAAGCCTTGCTATCAACAATGGCCACAGCTTTACTACACTTAGAGAGGCGAGATGCGGCTGAACTGCTTCCCCACACTTTTAGAAGTAAATGACACAACTGTCTCTTGTTATCATCATTGGCTAGGAAGAGTTTAAAATCTGCTGGTTTCCTTGTAGCTGGCCCCTCTACTATGTACCGCTGTGACAAACCCCGACGATGTATCTCCTRACTCTTAATTGAGTCGTCATGATAAGAATCTGTTGAGAAGATGAAGTCCTTTTTAGCAGTCATCTGGTCGAGTAGCTGTAAACATATTTCTCCAAACGTAGGTGGCAGGTTATAAGCAGGGCATGAAATAACGTATTTCCATCTTGGATAAACAGGGTGCTATTCGTCGGGTAGGGTACTTCAGTTTCGACGTCCTCCATGAGGTAGTGCAGTATTGCAGCCTTATTTGTCTTGTTGAAAAACCCGTCAGGTGTGCCAAGGCTGTGAGGAACAGGGGTAAGAGGGTACGTCATCAGTTCATCTAGATCAATGGGCTCCTCAATCTGTTGTGACTTGACAAGTAATAGAAATGCCAGGTCACTTTTCTCACGATATTGGATTACCTAGATTAGAAGCCGATATTAAAAACTGTTCAGGTAAAATAACACGTACATTACTTTCTATTATGCATTTACCTTCCCTTGTGATGCTGTGAGTTTCACCATCTTGTTTGATACCTCCATGGTCTGAAGCTTCTTTTTTTTTTTAATAGGTTCAAAAAACAGTGATTCTGACGATCCATTTACAAATCGATCATTGATAAACGTTTGCTTTGCGTTTTTTCCAATTTCCTCTGCCTGTAGAACGTCGTGTTCGGCTTCTAATGGCACTGGAGCACCAGACGCAATACTATATAGCTTGTGTTTGTCGGCCAGGCAGAGCGGGTCTGTGAAGTTTCTTATGGCGGAGATGGTGTGTTGAACGGCGTTTTCTGATTTCCTTATTTCCGCCTTTTCCAGTTCTCGGTGCTTGCCGGCTTTTGGGCAGTCAGGATCATCAATGAGTCCGCAGGTTTCAAGCATTTTCTCATAGTATTGCGCTCGAGTAGATGTTGTTCTGCACCACCGTTGGTAGGCACCAAACATGGAGAACAGTCCAGAAAACCCACCTAAAAGACTTCAAATTTTCAGATTTTTTCTAGAATGGAACTCATTAAGCTACAACTACCCTACCTGCTGACTTTGCAAACTTCATAAAAGTCTCCTCCATCGTTTTATCCACTGCACTCAAAGCACCTGGGATAAGTGATCTGGCCACAGCTATGCCTCCCTTCTGTATGAAAGTGCCCATACACCCTGGTTATTTATTGTCTAGTTTGAAAGACTTTCACCTAAATAACAATTATTCAAAGTAAAAATTACAAAAAAAATATATTTATCCGATAAATCTTGATTCCAAATGTGCATATTTGTCAAAGTTCGGGATTCCTGTGAAAAAAATCCGAGTCTCGCTCCAGTCTTCTTATGACGTAGTATACGGGACGGCGAGGTGTTTTGTGACAGAGGAAAGTATAGACAAGTTTTGTTGTACGTTTCGAAAAATGCGGAAAAATGCCTGATCGATGTATTGTAATTGGCTGTTCTAATGAGAACAGTTCATCGAGTACAATAGCATTACATAGAGTTCCTTTTTTTGGCGACTCTCGTCCTGAAGCAGTCTCAA